GAAGGACTTCTTTGATGTGACTTTTCTGGACTTTTTGGAGGGCTCTTGGCTGGAGTCTTCTCAGGAGTCTTGGCTGCAGGTTTTTCTGGAGTTCTGTCTACCTTCTTAAAGAAAGCGTCCAAGGAAGTTTGGGCAGATGTTCTCCAGGGAGATGAGTGACGCAGCAAACTTGTTCGCTAGCACGGCATTGCATCAGAACAAGCATTGTAAAGTTGAAACTGACATCATAAAGTTGAAACAGGGTGTCAATTTATAAACATTGTAAGTGCGAAACATTGTAACTTGAAACGTTGTAAGTCTGTACAATGAACAAGCTCAGTTTACTGCACAGTCACATCAATGGCCAGGCTGCTCACCTGAGTGTGAACCACACAGGAGGAAGAGCCACCTGAAAGGGCTTCTGAAATCTAGTCACAGTTGCCCAGAGCCAGAGACATCTTTGTGGGCACTAGGGTTTGAATCCAAAGTCTCCTCAGACTTGTAACATGGAGCAATCCTTGACAAATCACTGTTTTTTAGGTGAAACAAAAACAAACCAGGCAAACGCCCACTCCTCAACTGTGCCACCTGGTTCCCCTACTTTGGGGGCCATCAGTCAGTGCAGATGGGGTGCATTCACAGGCTCCACAAGCCAACTACAAATGTTAATTTATTTGGGCAGAGAAGAAAGGTTAATGGTGGGTGATATGGAAAACAGCCTGCAAGCCATGTTAATGTCAAGGACTGTGCTGTCAGCATGCTAGAAAGCTCTCACCACTGCTCTGGGGAACGCACAAGAAAAACTGCACAAAAATAAGCAGACAGAATCTCTCTCCATCCCTCTGAAATGCAAACTCATGTACAACAGCTACAATTACACTGTCACTGTACCATGCATACTGTTACTTTGTACAATTTATGCTATTACTGTTTATATACTGTGCTATACATGGTAAGGCTATCCAAATCTGCATGTAATAACCATGCTTGGATGTGAGTGTTATTATGGCTCAGTTGATCCCACTGTAGCAAATGATCTTTGGGATCAAGTGCTAAGTTTAGGACTTGGGAGCCTGCTTAATCCATAAATACTTATCAAAATAAGAAACACAGAAAACAGTCCTTCTGGAACTTGGACCTGCCAGACCAGATCAGCTCTACAGCTCATCTAGCCCAGTGTCTTGGCTTCTACAGTGACCAGAATCTGATGCCTTAGAAGAGGCAAGATACTCTGTGTCAGGCAGTTGTGGGATAATCTGCCCCATATCAATTTAAGACCTGAAGTATAAGATTTAATATGTCTGCCAAAATGTATGTTTTTATTAACCCTTCTGTTGCTGTTGTTAACCATATAGCTATGCAATCTTGTGCGTCTACCAAGGCTAAATCTGTAGCTTGGTGGGATGTTTCCAAGTCATATGAGACTACTTCTATTACAGAAAGAAGTTAGGCCCAAAATTAAGGTTTGTTTTTGTTTTTTTAAAAAACAAAACCCAACAGTGGTGTTTCTTTGTTTGATTTTATTACTTTGCAAAGCTTTGTCTAACAAGTAAATATCTCCCTACAACCAAACACTGCAGCTTCATATCAGTGCAAAGGAACTGAAATTGGTCTAGAAAGTGGCTTTAAACCAGCCTTGCTAAATTGCCATGAAAATTTACCAACCCAAGTGCAAAATCTTTTCACCCACTTGCTTTCCCTTAATGGTGAGGAGAATGGAAATCTATTGATATTTTAACATACCTGTCAAAAAAAATTATTCACCTCCTTGGCTGAATGGATGAGGAGCTCTTGAACAAAGGGAAAATGATTATCGGTCTATTTATATAGTACAAGTGGCAATAAATACCAAAGGTGTTTTAACAGCATATAGTGGAAAGCAAACAATGCTGCCAAAACTCTCTCTTTTGATAAATTAATCCACCATTCATGACACAGCTAAGGGATTTCTCTCTTTAGATACCTTAAGAGATGCCATTGGAGGAGTATCTTCTCTTCCATCTGCATCTGGAAAGAGCATGGGGCTCAGGTTTATCTCACACGCACACAAATTTAGAAGTCAGAAAAGAAAAGGGAACTACCCAGCTGTAATTTTCCAGGGTCCCACATGCTCACATGGATTTGTAGAACTCATTTCAGACATTTAAGGTTTTCAATACAAGGACATATCATCCTCATTTTGCAGACAGGAAATAAAGCACAGGGGCAGAGTTTTCAATATCACACAGGAAAGCCTGAACTAGAACCCAAGTCTCCCAAGGATGCATGCTGCCCCCTGGACCACAAAGCCACCCCTTACCAGCACATCCTGGAAACCATATGAATCTGCTTTGACTTTTGTGCAGTCCTCACAGTGTCGACAGTTAGACTTTCCATTCGTGAATGGAAAGTGGGCAACAGCAATGCACTAGGGCCAACCGAGAGGTGATGCATAGAGTGCAGGAGCTTAGGGCATCAGTCACTATTTGAAACCCTTAAAGCCTTAAAGATCACTTGTGAGGTAGACCCACTCCGTTCGCCAGAGAAAGATCTTTGCTCACAGCCTCAGTGTCCTGCACTGAGAAGGAATCAGTAATAATAACCATTTCTAGCTCTTCTAGTCAGCAGAGCTCAGAGCACTTTCCAAAGGAAATGGACACCTTGTCAGGACAGGAGTGGGGTGCTCTCATGTGCCTATCCCCTTTCCCTGGACATAACCCTCAATTCTCCTCTTGTAGTGGATGTTACTGGGGCACGCACTACTTCACCTCATACAGCCCATTAGTTAGCTACATCAGTGTCTACCGTTTCAGATCAGGCCCACCCCACACCACCACGTCCCAGTCCAGAAACTTCAATAGCTGTGAAGATTGTCATCTAAGTCATGCTCCTCTCACAGCTGAGCACTGCACTACCCCAAACACTTCGTATGTGAGTCTCCAGCTCTGTCCCTATCTTGGGACTCACAGCCACATCATACCAACATCTTTAGACTGCCCAGCCACAGTCTCCAGTCAGCAGTTGCCTTCACCAGCCTCTCCTCATCTCCCATTGTGTACTGTCCAGTACTACCGCCATCACTCCCACTTTTCTTCACCAGGCCAGACCAGGGAGCTCTTTACTCTGACAGCCATGCCTGAACTGGCTTACTACCTTTATAAACCCAGGGGCAGAACTGGATGTGAACCAGTTACACATTCTTAAAAAGACTCTTAACAGGGCTGCAAGGATACTTCTGTAGGCACCTACATACTGAGGTTAGGGCACCCACTACAGCTCTCTTTTATTATGAAGCAACTTGCTCAGCAGGGTAGTGACATCTAGGGATACAACCAGTTTTCCTGAGGTCCAGTACAATGCACTAGCCACTTACCCACATTGCTTCTGTATATAAGACTTGTACCACAGGAAAAGAACCACAGCAGTAGATTGGCAGTCGTAGGGTGTGAAGAAGAGACAACCATCTGCATCTGCACAGGCTTCTCTCAGTAACAGTGGAGCACACAGCCCTTGTTCAGACTTATGACATGAACTCTGACACTCTCAGCATAGTGTTATCTAGCTTCTATTCAGCCTCCAACTGCCTGAACACATCTGCAAAGTTGACACAGCTTCCACACTGTTGCCAGGAAGAGTCGATTGAAAACAGGTGGGCCTAACAAGGCATTGAGAGGTTAAAGGAAAAGTCACACGACACCCTGTTTACCAGGAGAAAACTCCTGAAAGTTAATGATTAACGTGCATGGGTAGGGAGGAAAGAGTACTGTGAGACTGGAAGCTATTTATGTGTGTGTGTGTGTGTCATGCTGGGGAGATAAATCTTAATTAGGCAGGGAGGACTGATACATTATAAGGGTGAGCTTCAGAGCCATGCAAGGCTGAGCACCCAAATGAGCTGAGTGAGGAGACAGCAGTGGGTGCAGGGAGAAGCTAGCAGCTGTGTTCACCTACACTGTCACCACCCCCAATATGCACACAAAGGCCTTGTGACTCCTATTGCTTTTATACAACCTTCCCAGTCTCTCCTGGAATGATGTCAGAGCCAGGCTCCTGGGCCTTGTGGTCACAGAGTGATGATGCAGCCCAGTCGTGGCAGCAGCATTAAAAAAGTAACCAAGGGAATTAGGCTTTGTCCAGGAACTGGAATGTCTCCTTCCCCAGGGATGCAGGGCATACAGAAAAATCCAAACAGGATACACTGACCCCCCTAGGCAGCTGCTCTTCCTGTTGGGCTAGGATTTAGCACTGAGCCTTGCAACAATTTAGGGCTGAGTCCTATATCAAGAGGAAGAGAACAAGCAGCTCTGCCATCCTTGGATAATCTATTTGTCTTCAGCAATCAAACCCCACGGCTTCCAATAAACATACTCACAGCTGGGCTGCTTTAACTGGTGCAGGCAAATCCATTTATAATAGACAGGGCTATTCCCCATGGGGAGTCACAGGCATGGAGAGGAGCCTCATTAGAAGAAGTGGTCCTAATTGCCTTGTGTGCTGGGCCACTGGGATGTTTGGCTTGGAAGGCTCCTGTGCTCACTGCACGTAGGCTGTTGCAGGCAGAAAAAACATGTTGCATATTATGGCTTGTCTGGAGTACAAGACTTCACACCCATGTACTGGCTCCTTTCTTCTAATGCAACTGCGGTGGGGTAGTGATGTTGATGCAAGAAATCCCACATTGAAACAAGACTGTTGGGATAGGCGGACTCTTTCACTAGGTAGTTAAACAAATGCCCGCTGGAAAGAACAAACACCGGAGCAGCACCAAAGGGCAGAGGAATTGGAAACAGACCTGTCAAAGAATATGTCTTCCTATAGCAGTTCCCAGGTCAGTGGCTTGCAGAGGAAGGGCAGTGTCTTCGGAGATGCTCTGAAAAGGTGGAAAGGACTGTGCTAGGGCTGGGTATTGGATCATTCAGATGCATCTGAGGAATGAGGGTGAGTGGAATGGCTCTGAGGTAAAACACTCATAAAATTTTCTTCCACCAGGGAGTGTGGGATAGAAGGCAGGGGAATTATACTTATTTATGAAGCTCCATCAGCACTGTACCTGGATTGTTAATATTTCTGAATAAGAGCAGCAAGTGCCTGTTGTCATCTGCATAGCAGGAAGAGGTGATTTAAGGGGAGCAGGTGGGCATCCCTGGAGACATTAGCTTGGCTAGGAGGGGCCAAGGCAGGGCCAACAGTTATGGCAGGAGTACCACAAGGGATGCCTTATCATCACACTTCTACTCTCTATTTGTGCAGCACCTGGTACAATGGGATTCCAGCCTAGGACTGAGGCACTGATCAAGACACATAATAATATTACAGATAAAAATTCCTACAAG